GGGCAGCTTACAACCTCAACACCTCAATTCGATGCTAATCATCCAATTCAATACCATAAGGCCCTTACCAATGGCCACGGACAATAATTCAATATAGAAACTATGATAATCAATAAAATAAGGTCAATTCAATGTAAATTCATAAATCTAATACAACCTAGATATCAATTGAATACAATTATTACATCACTGGATAGCCCCTAAAAATCTACATTGTTATTCATATACACTAGGTCAATATCAAGTATCCCATAACTTAGTAAATATCTAGGGTTCATCTGATTCATGGGTTCATATCAATTTAGGTTAAATCATAAAATAAATATCAATTAAATCATTATCCAATGTTTAGAAGTCATTAATGCAAGAACCCGTGGTAGAATCGTGAAATTTGGACAATTCAACTTGAAAACATTAGAAAACTTATTGAGAGTTGGGATACTTGATGAAGAGAGTTTCAATGATCAAAATCCATACCTTGATGATGCTAATTCTTCAATTTTATAAATAATGTCTAGTCAATTCGTTACACCAAGCTCTTCCTTCACTTTGGACTTTAATGGAGTTTTAAGGAATTTCTAAGGAATTTTGGGGTTTTGATTGAAAAAAATGAAATCTTCAATGTGTTTAAGACTAATATACACACTTATAATACCCAAAATACCCTTAAGGAACAGCCAGTACTCTTATTTTGATGTGGGGTGAAATTACACTTTCACCCCTCACTTAATAGCAGCCTGCACGGGAACACACACCTCAAAAGACAGTTGCCCATTGACGGGGCGTAGGTCAATACACGGGCCGTCCTGTCCTCCGTTGATGGGTTAAGATACTTGAAATTGGTATCTTATGTCCCAGGCTGAGTATCAAACGACACCCACCACATACAGGGCGTCGACCAAGCCACTGGCCGTCGATTGACATTCGTAGGTGGGACTGCTTTGGGCAGTTTTGTCCACCAACATGGGTCCTTCTTCAAGGACCATTGGTTGGTCCTTGGGATTTTTTCCCAATAATTACCAACCAAAAACATGATTGTATATGATTTGAGGACCTCTCACATGAATTTTATCCAAGACAAACACGTAAAACTCAAAGAAACATGCCTAGACAAATAAGGTCATTTCAAGGAACATCTTTAGAACGTCATGGACGTTATTGGACTTTTGACCTCCAATCTTCATGAAACTCCACACACTGCCTATATAAATCATAATAAATTATTTAAGTACTTTATAACCTCATGAAGCACACATAAAAACATAAAAGCACATATGACGCACATAGGTGACTTACTAGTCAAACGTCTTAAAAATCGTCCCTTGATGTTTGACTTCCTGCACCTAACTCTTAGACACTGCCCCCAATAACACAAAGTAGACCTATTTAGGACCTTAAACCATCAATAAAAACATGTTATTCTATATTTCACCTCAGTCATTTTCGGGGTCTTACAATCTCCCCCACTTGGACAACATTCGTCCTCGAATGACACTTGTTGACACCCAATTTTTACCCTCCCGAAAAAATTAATTCACAATTTTCTTAAATTTTGAGTGTTTTAAAATAATTAATTTTATAAAATTCAAAATGTTTTTCAAGTTATTTCAAATGAATTTTGGTAGATTTTATAATTTTAAGATAGTATATATGTCCTTTATATAATTAGCTTATTTTATAAGTATTTGAAAATTGTCTACAATATATATTGTTTTAATTAAATACTTTGTTAATTAGTTTAATTACTTAATTGTTTATATTTTTTATTAAGCTAAATAATTTATTTCGTTAATTTTAAGAAGCTCGTAAATTGATTATATTAATTCGTCTGACTCTTTCTATTTATTTAACAAAGGAAAATTTAGCCAACTAGTCAAAAAAACAAACTTATTTAGTGATAATATCCATACTTTAATAATATTAGTAAACATGTCAAAAATGCCATTATTTTAAAAACAAATAATTATTTTTATATTATTAACATTTTCTCTCATTATTTACACCCTTTTTTCTCTCTCATAAATTACATATTTTCCTATATTTATGTAATTAGATATATACTAATGATATTTTAAATTTTCTCTCTCTTTTATTAAGATTATTATTAATTTCTATCTATATATTTATTACTGATCAAATTTTCAGATTTTTCTCTCTCTTCTCTTACTCTTCTTTTCAATTTCTCTCTCTAACATTCTTCCAAATCAATTCCATAGATTTTTGATTCAATATATTAATATTTCTATTATTCTCATTTAATTTAGTTGCAATATTTGATTTGATGATTAACTTTAATTTGGGTATTATTTTTTCAGATTCCTTATTTATTTATTTACTGATTTTAGTGCTTTTTATTTATTCTTTTGTTGTTGTTCTTAAAACATTTTTTAGGGTTTGAGACTACATAATTCTCTCTTTTATGGACGTTTTCAAGAGAGTTACTAGAGGTATTGGACAAAATAATCAAAGTTCTTCCGATTTTTCATCATTTAATTTTTTTCACTCAAGAATTAAACAATAATGTAGGCTCCGTTTCGAAATCTAAGGAGGATATACACCGGGAAAAATGCCTGAATCCGTTGATGTGCAAAATCACACACAAATTCATAACCATGAAGTTGAAGAAGGCCAATTTGTTGGAGAAGAGTTTTTTTTTTGTATGTTGTGTCTTGCATGTTGAGATTAATTTGTTTAGTAATTTTTAAGATTCAAAAAAATTCATATTACAATGCGTTTGAAAGTGTATATGAATTTTTTATTATGTTATAGTTAGTATTTATTTTTGTATTTCATATATTTAATGTATTTTGTGTTCTGTTTTTTTTTTGTGTTAGTTATGTCAATGTAACACATTCTATGAGTTTGATTGTGTATATTTCATAGTTTAAATATTTTTTATATTCATAGGTTTGGAAGTGTATATTGAATTTTGTTGTTGTTTTAGTTAGTATGTATTTTCGTATTTAATTGTTTTATTGTTTTTTGTATCCATAAATTTGGAAGTATATATTGAATTTTGATATTGTTTTTGTCAGTATGTATTTTTACAATTAACAGTTGTATTCATTCAAAAATTATGTTGCATTATTTCTGAATTTGACATTTTTTTTTAATTTGTATTTATTTTAAAGGTATGTCAACTAGTTATGTATTTTATTTAAGAATGAGTACACCAAATATTCAATTATTTGTTTTCAATTTTATATTTCATTCACTTTTTCATCATACTACTTATTTGTATTTTATATATTATTATTATAAAAAATGCTAAATAAAAACTAGAATAAATATAAATACAAAAAAAATACATATTGAAATGAATAGATACAAGATTTTTGAAGAATAAATAACTATATAGGGAAAAAAATATATGAATACATATATATCTCTTAAATGACTATATAGATAAATTCGACATACCTATATATTGGATTGAATACAAACTAATAAAAAACTATAATAAATATAAATAGAATATATTTTGGAATGAATATAATTTTAAAAAGGTAAAAATTCTGGAGAAAAAAAAAGGGCAACATTCACATATAGCAAACAAAAAGTTCATATTTGTATGCTATAGAAAACTTTGCATAATTGCGCTCCATAGCAAACATAAAACTGTATAATTTGCTATGCATATACAATTGTATATTTCGCTGGCCTAAATTGTATAATTCGCTGGCATAAATTATATAATTTGCTGCCCTATTTCGCTGCAATTGTATAATTTGTTTTGCATACAGTTGAATTAAATTAAAATGTATGTATATTGCATAATTATAAGTGTATAGCGAGAAGATATATGTTTTTCTCTCTTTATACAAAAACAGAAACACAATATGTACACTTCTGTTGTATAAAGCTAGAGAAAATTGTATTTCACTGCATTGTATAATTCGCAATTGTATAATTTGTTGGTCTTTTTCTCTGCAATATTTGAAGTAAAATGTTTGTAAATTGTATAATTAAGTGTATAACATGAAGATATACATTTTTGCATGTGTATATACAATTTTCTCTCGCTTTATACAAAACAGAAACATAATTATACACTTCTCGCTTTATACAAAAACAGAAACACAATATGTACACTTCTGTTGTATAAAGCTAGAGAAAATTGTATTTCACTGCAATTGTATAATTTGCAATTGTATAATTTGTTGGTCTTTTTCTCTGCAATATTTGACGTAAAATGTTTGTAAATTGTATAATTAAGTGTATAACACGAAGATATACATTTTTACATGTGTATACACAATTTTCTCTCGCTTTATACAAAACAGAAACATAACTATACACTTCTGTGTATAAAGCGAGAGAGACGAGCGAGAATGGAGAGTGGCGAGCGAGATTTTTGGGAGAGAGACACTGGCAAATTTTAGCTAATGTTTGCTATGGAGCACAATTAAATCAAACCCTAGCTATTCCATTTAATTTAGATTATTAGTTTGCTATGACATACAATTTTCCCAAAAAAAAAGAACAAAGTTTAAATTTTATTTGAAAATGTAACTGATGAGAAAATTAAGGATTCTTACCTTTTTTGAAATATTCTCTCCCTTGATTTTCTCCCTTTTGTTGTTAAATAATTATATTCTTTAAATAAAAATAAATAATAAAAACATAAATAAGATACATAACAAACTAAAATTTGACATTTTTACTAAATATTGAAAGTATTGCTAATGAGCCCTCTTAAATGTTAAAATATTGACATTTTGAAAAATTCTCATTCTATATAATTTTAGTAATAAATATATAGATAGAAATTAATAATGATCTTAATAAAAGAGAGAGAAAATTTAAAATATCATTAGTATATATCTAATTACATAAATATAGGAAAATATGTAATTTATGAGAGGGAGAAAAGGGTGTAAATAATGAAAGAGAAAATATTAATAATATAAAAATAATTATTTATTTTTAAAATAATGACATTTTTGACATGTTTAATTATTAATGTATGGATATTATCACTAAATAAGTTTTTTTTTTTGACTAGTTATCTAAATTTTGCTAGAAAAGTTTCCCTTTAACAAAATTCCCTATAGCTTCAGCCATCCAAGCCCATTTCACCAAATTAATTCCCAGCCCAATTCAAGTTTTTTTTAGTATCCCAGTTCCCCTATAACCCCAAACCCATTAAAACTCCAGCCTTTTTGTCCAAAATACCTGACCCATTTTTTCCTTTCCATAAAAGAATTCAGTCTTCCCCGATGTACGCAACATTTCCCCACGCTTTGCTCCATCCATTTTCCTCACGGCATGGGTAGAAAAAATGGTCATCAAAAAGCGCATCACAAGTAGCAAATGCACTGACAATGGTTCTAGAAGCACACGCGTGAACAATGTACGTGTCTCTTCTCCTTCGATGTCTTTTTCAACTCGTCCCTTTCTTCTTTCTGTGCTTGTACGACCCCAACAACAGCTCCAAGAACGCAAGAATCATCCTTGGGACGAATAAAATTATGCCACGTTGCAATTCCAAGGACGATGGAACCATCTCAACCATCTATCCCCTTCCGCCCTTTCTGGAATATAGACAAAATCTTAGAAAAAGTTGTTGATTCTATCCTCACCGCTTCCTTTATCAAATTTTGAAATACCCTTGGATTTGGTCGATTCTATCCTCACCTCTTCCTTTAGGAAAACCCAAATCCTCCTCTATATATCTCTTTCCTATTCACTATTTTAGGGGAGTTAGGGGGATTTTGATTTTTTAGGCAAAGGATTTTTTTTGAGTTTCTTAAAAAAAGAGCGAGCAATTTTTTTCTTTGGAATTTAACTCCTTCAAGTTTGTTTACAACTAGCTGGAGGACACTGATACAACTGGAACTTGGGAAAAAGGAGTTTGATTTTTCTAGTTGAATTTTTTGTTGGAAAATCCCTTGAGTAGGAATGTCAAGAGCTGCTAAGAAAATAGTATAGAAACACGATAAGATGTTCGAAACAACGTTATGTTCTAGTTCTCCGTCGAGATATCACACATTCCTTCTAGTTGCGTCGTGTCCTCTCAAACTCCGTTTTAAGTCGAGCTTTGTGGTCGGAAGATCGTGTTTGTTCTCCATCTCGCTGCACTCGAAAAGGTAAAACATCCCTCCGTTTCATTTTCTTCTCACCCCTATCTTAGTGTCACAATAATTGTTTAATGCTGAAGAGTTTTGTTACATGGTTGCTCGCTGTTAATATCTGTTATTTTGTTGACCTAATTTGTATTGTTTTCTTAGCCTTTTTGACCAAATAGAGATAGTGCTCGTGTTGAAGTATCGTGAAACCTTGCTTAATGTTTCCGTCTCTCTATTTCACTTGGCTTTAAGTTCACGCCATATTGTAAATTTCATGTCTTCTTTTGACTAAGATGGATTTAACAAAAGTCTGGTTTGATTTAAATAATTAAGTTCTATAGTGTGTTTCTTCCTGCTATTCGTTTTCTTTTCTTTCAATTATTTTGCGTGTAAGCTTGGTCAGATCCTCGCCTTGATCATTTTGGATACCCTTTCAAGTTTGTTCTTGGTTAATACACTATGTCAAGCAATTTGTAGCATGTAATTTATTTGTTTGTTTGTTTTGTTGAAGATTTCTAGAATCATGAAGGATGACTACCTCATTTTGTTTCAACGCGGTACCTCCATGATCTTACATCTTATTGTTAATCTAAACATTTTGTAGTTCACTTGAGTTTTAAGTTCCCATTTATTTATTTTTTTAGGTTTTGGAGTTCATCCTTGTTAATGTTTTTAAGTCGTTTGGCTTCTCAAATGAAATTGTTTTTTCGGAAAAATGTCTTGATTGATTTGAGTATTTTGTTCAAATTATTACTTTTTTTCTCTCTTTGATCTTGAATTCTTCCTTTAATTCCATTTGTTGATATTTTGTTAATTATTCTAGTTACATACCTTCCTAGAGAGTCGCCTCATAATTGATCTTCAACCCATAGAGGAGATTCTAGATGCATAATTACTAATGATTATAATAACCTAGCTCAACTAGGCAACCTAAGTATTTTACATTTCAACGTAACAGCCCATAATATGGCTCCTACTGTTAGTACCAGTAATCAAGTTTTTTATTTCTAAACTCCTGATGAGCACCCTTTACAAAGAGGTGCTAGCTCTCTAATTAATTGGTACCTTAGTATGAATAAATAAATGCCTCTTGTTTTAAAAAAAAATACTATCTTACACAAAAGCAAGTGTTTACTGCGCTGGAATTTTATTTTATTTATATTAATGGTGCTTTCCTTATTATTATTCATTAATATTACTTTGTTATAAAAATGTCAAATTACTTTGTCTCATTTAATGGGTTTACATATATCTTTTTCTGCACGATCTTATTATTCATAACATTTATTAGCATTTATATTTTACAATATCCTTGCTAAAATTCTCAATTCTTCTTTTGTTAGTCGTAGTTGTTGCTCATTTACTATAGTTTGCTTGATTCCTTCCCTTATTATTCGAGATGTGTAATAGATTGTAGTCTTTAAGTTTTAAGCTTTAATCCTTTGTTTAGTCCTAAATACATGCCTCTTTAGTTGAAAATGATGCTTAAATTAGTTGTAATTTTTTACGCCTATGCTTGCTCTATTTCTTTACTTAAAGTCGTGAAATTGTTTAACATCTCTCTTTTAACCATGTCTCATTTATTTCGAGGGAGTAGCATCATTTTGTTAATTGGGTATACTATTTTGTTCATGGGTTTAAATTCTCAAGTTTATTCATTATTACACGGGGTACTATTGTCTCTGCATATCTTCATGTTGCATTTTTTAGAAGAAGACTTAATTACATTAGCTTCAATAGCTCACTCTACTCTTCTTACTGATAATTGCTTCCAAATTATCATTTATGTCTAAATAATTTTTGCTAAATCTACTTCCTCTAGTCACTATTGGCCTCATTGTTTAGTTATCACTACTATTTGATGTTTTATCTTATTACGTGAAGTTAGTTTGATTAAAGTGAAAGTTCATTTAGTATTGCATGTTTTACTTTTAACAACTCGGCAGTAAACTAGTCACACATTTTTTTATTATTTTTTATTTTTGTGAGTTGGTAGAGTTATATAGAATCAAAGTATACTATGTTATTAATCGCTATTTTATTTCATTCTCTTCTATGTTGGAAGCGTCTCTCCCGCGTCTCTGGAGACTCTTTCCCTCCCATTTTGGAAGAATCATAAAGACTTATACTTCCTTCCATCAAGTCAATACATGTATTAAATGTACATGTTTTGAAGAGGAAGAAGTTGAAGAGATTGGGCCTCAAAGGACCAAATTCATTCGAAAGATTATTTTTCGGGCATATGCCCTTGTCGTATTTATTTATTTATTTATTATTGTAAGATTATTTTAGGATAGGTACAAAAACAACTGGGTCAAAAAACCCAAAAGAAGTGGGTCCAAATACCGTTCAAGGAAGACAGATAACCCGAATTAGGACCAAACTCTCTCCTCTCTCTCTCCTCTTGTATTCTCGTTTATTTATATAATTTAGTTTTTGATAGTTTTAAAGTTAATATAATTCAATTCCTCGCAAACGTCAACTTAAAATTAATTTGAAACGGATTCTAAAAGAATAAATAAAATTGCGATCCAATTCTCACTTATATAGTAAATTAATTACTTTGTTTCAAACAAATCCAAAGCGATTTTTATCTTGAAATCAAAATTATCTTTTTAGCCAAATTAAGTTTGTTGTCGGATAACCGCATGTTAGCGTACGTCTTAGGTTCTTTTAGAAACCTTTCTAAGATGTTAATAGAAATCCCCGAACCTTCCTAAAATTATTTCATTTGATTTTCTGTTTTCAATTAAATGGAAGAATGGTTTTCTTGATTTTTCTCAAAAATTAAGTGGCGACTCTTAAAAAGTCAAAAACATACAAAAATTATTATTTTTCCAAAATATATAAAACACAATGGTTGTGTGAAGTTAACTTTATCTGTTTATTTATCGTACTATATAAACTGTTGCATTATAACTCCGTTAAACGATGGTTATTTTTGTTTACCGCTTAAAGGACGATTATGCGTGTTCACAGTCGTTCCATAACAAAATATTTCTCGGGGCACTGTGACAAATGTAGTTGGCTACTTGATAGTTAACGATCGTTAACTGTCCCGGCCTAAGTAGTCCGCTTTGGTTACCCTTTCCACTATAAATATAACCCACTCCTAGTTAAACTAAGAAAATGAGAACCAAAACCTGAAAAGTAGCGCATTGGCCTAAGATAACCGAACACCCAAGGAGTAGTGGGCCCATTAGAAAGACCTCGTTGAGTCCAAAGAACCCACGGCTCGATAAGAAGATCATATTTGTGTGTTTAATCTGAAGGATGTTTGTGTGTTTAGCTAATTGTTGTGTCATGGGGGTTGGAAACTAACTAGTCGTATGTTTTTTTAGATGTCGAGTAAGTTCATCAGCTTCAACATGGTCACCAAGACATGAGACATTCTTCGTATATGGTGGGACAATCTCCAAGATTGACAAATGAGATACATGGGCCACTTACCTTCGATAATGGACTTCAAGGCTTGGCCCATGTTTATCGAGGTAATTACGCAGTTCTGGGACGACAAAAAGATGGTGTTTTAATTTGGAGGCGTCGAAATGACACCAATGCTAGAAGAAATAAAGGATTGTCTGGACTCTATCGGAACATGTGCCAAGAGGAAAAAATTTCCAGATCATCACATCCTTCTACAAAATATGCCGACTAGTAGAGAATTGAAAGACATGTTGCTGCTGGTAAGGGATACCTTGTTGGATGCCCAAAGTATACCACTAATGAGATGTTTTGAAATATGGGGGCATGATAGCTATTTTGTGCAATTTCCAAATTAATTCTATGACCATATTACTTGAAGACAAACTCAAGCCATCGCATTGTGTTCCCTCAGAATGAAGGAAAACATATTGACACCCGAGTCGTAATGGCAGTAGACGCCATTTTTAGAGGAATTGGTAGCATTGCAGTTTAGCCCCGGTCATTTTGGCCGACATCTATCGGTCTTTGAGATAATGTAAGAACGGGTTCCCAGTTTTCCAAGGTTTCAACAATGTACTTCAGTGGTGGATGACAAAGCATTTGTGCATAAGAAATGGCACCCAACAACAAGAGTTAGCCGAATCGATCCAGACGTGTCCCCTTGATAATTACGAATTATATCGAAGTGTTCATATATTCCCAATTCACACCACCAAGGATGCGTGGGTGAGGGTATTTTACGATCTACAAGAAGGATATATATAGTGGATGTTGCCGAGCTTCATGTCTGAGAATATAGCAACGCAAAGGGCCCAAAATTCCCTTTTTAGTCTTTTCTATCGTCAAGGGATTACGACCCCACAATTAACCTAGGGTGATGCAGCAATTCTGTAGAACACAAATCACACTTGTCCACGGGGATACTAGCTGTTTTATCGTCGATATAATGGGTGCACTAAAATACCTTTCGCCAAGATCATCCTCCAAGAATGGGCCGGACGTGTCAACATGAAATGGGGTATGACATAAAATAGATATGAAGTAGGGTATGTAGATGAATACAAGATGTTGTTGCAGAATGATTTATGTGTTATAGTGAACCCAAAACTACGCGTGGATTAAAAAGTCAAAGACGTATAGATAAGGATCTAGATCATCGCATATTATTTTAAGCAGGAATGGGACCGAAGGGATAAGGAATTTCAGCGAAGGGACCACGAGTACCAATTAGAGAGTTAGAAAATTAGAGGGCTCTAGCGGTGAGGTCACAAGAGCTAGTTGATGCAAGGGATTGTTTGGTGCGTCTAGATGCAATCCTAGATGAGTAGATGAACACTCTACAGGCCGTGCATCCAACTTCCAAAGTTTTTTTTTGATGAGTCATATGTAGTAACAAGCAAATGCAAATCATTCGCGAAGAGGTAGAGAGACAGAGGAGGAGCAGGTTCGTCAACATTCTAATTCCCATGCGTGGGATTGTTTTATACTTGTATTCGCAATGTATTCTCCTTCCATGAAAATGTAGCTCATTTTGCTTAAAACTATGTAACGAATGCTATGATTATTTGTGAATTTTATTTTGGGGGATGCAACAACCTTTTTTAAACAACGCAATACATACTATAGATCCCTAGGCCTACCCTTGGAACAAAAGGGTCACATGCATGATTAGGACGCAATATAGGTGTTTTAAGTGCTTATGTGATATGTTGCTTTGAATGAGGATATAGTCAACTCACTCCTGTGAAGAAAGTTCTATAAAATATACACACAAGTCACTATTACAATATGTCCGAAAAAAATTTTCCGAGTGTTAAGTTTCTCACTCAAAAGACACATCTCATATCCCAAAACCTAAAACCCTACTCTATCGTCTCAGGAAAGGAATGATCACCTCTATGGACAAAGGAAAGAGTATCCAAACTAGGCCAAGTGAAGAAGAGAGGATCGACACACAAAAATAGTGCAGAAAGCACCTGTATGACTTAATGTTTCATTCTAGAAGCTCCGAGAAGGAAATCAACAAAGAGAGTTATGAGGAGGCACTTGCGCGCAAACCTTCTTCTTAAGGACGTTTGAAAAATGGAGACAAGAAAATTTCTCTCGAGGAATATCCACACAAATGTCGAAAAAGGATAGAGGTCATTTCGTGCGCACTCGTTTTCAAACACTATTGATCTTGGAATGTGTTGAGACCCATCAAAAGAGCGTCACCCCAAGAGGCATCAGGGGATTTCCGCAAGACATGCGAATGTCATCCCAACCAGAAAGGGCATACGATAGAGGAGTTCTTTGGGTTTAAAAACGCAGTCCATGGTTAGTTCAGTATGAACAGTACTTTGAACACATGAGGTGATGGCGTTCTCCTTGCATGTGATGAACCGCGGCTTGACATACTGAGTTGTAGTCATCATTTTATATTTAAAGCTTTGTTGTCTTTCAGTTTACTTGTAATCGTAATGAATAGATGAATGAAAATATTTCCTTTTGTACTTTAACTACGTTGGGCCTGAATTATCTATGTGAGATACGTAGGCAACCTTTAAAGGCCCGGTCCCTATCTTTTAAATGTTTTAGTCTCCCCCTATCATATTACGAGTAGCTACAATGATCAGATCAATAGACATCAAAGGACATCTGCAAGAAGACCTTAGCTCAATGTGATTTAGCTTTTTTATGATAGGGTTAAACTAAAAACAAGCAAAAACCTGCTTGTTAAAAATTTGCTTCCGTCCTTACTCGTGAGTTGAAGACATCCTCAGACATAGCAACTTGTGCGTTTATCTGGTCTCTGTGTGATATTATGCATTTTTATCATGAATCTAAACTGACAAATCTGCCTTTGAGTTGTTTCCCTTTTATGGTACTCTGAAACTGATCTGTGTCGATTAAGCCGGTAGATCATCCCTATTTCACCAAATAAAAAGATCCTGCATATTCCTTTCCCAGATAAGATTCGGTCAAAGCAAAAACGCAATGGGAGATAACAACGAAGAAGTAAGTCTCACTAACATTGAGGTGGCTCAGCCCCCCATAGAGGTCCAAAATGAATTGATTTTGAAACTGATGCAACAGATTGCGGAGATGATGGTGGAGATGCAAAGCAGACAAGATCTGCCTCCACCACGTTTTGCTGCTAACACTGCTGATGGGAGACCTCCTCTCTACTTCCTTATTTAAAATGTTGATCCAGCCCAGAATCATCTATCTACACCTGTCCAAAATCGCTCTGTCATAAACTTGACTACACAAAATCTCCAATATGCTTTTGCATCCTACCAAACTCCCCCTCCTACTCAAAACAACCATTCCCAAATACCACCTCACTCTCAAAATACCCAACATCAAACGCTCCACCACCTTAAAATCTAGGCCAAAATCCAAAGCAAAATACTTTCAATCCCTAAGCATCCCACCACCACTTAAATCAGAATACCAATCCTCAGTCTTATCCATAGAAATACCAAACCATTCAAATCGCCCATAGTCTTTTCGTAGCTCCACCCTTACCTAAAAGAGCCACTTTCCATATTATCGTCCCTGCGGAGCTCGACGTGCACAGTTATGAGTTGGACCATTATGAGGAATAGGAAAGAGAATGGAGAGTGAAGGAAGAAGTAAAAGTGGATATAAGAGAGAAGAGATCAAGAGAGTCATGAAAGAGCTCCAATGCATATCCCTGATGCAGCCGGTCTTAATTATGAAGATTTGTGTATTCATCCAAATATGGACCTTCCAAAGGGGTTAAAGATTCCAAAATTTGATACTTTTGATGGAGTTGGGCAACCTATGGCTCATCTGAGAGCCTACTGTGACCAGCTTGTTGGAGTTGGTAGGGATGAAACTCTATTGATGCGTCTATTCAGCCGAAGCCTATGCGCAGAGGCTCTAGAATGGCTTACCTCCCACGAAACAAGACAATGGAAAAGCTGGAATGCTCTAGCCAAAGATTTCATTGATCAATTGCATTCAACATAGAAATTTTCCCTAATTGATACTCTTTGGAGAAGATGAAGTAGAATTT